GATGACTTTCGAGGCCAAATGGTCCCCACGGTAGTGCTTGGGGTGCTTGCGAGCCCTGGAGGACAGGACGAGACTCGACCGGCGACTCGTCGAAGGGTTCATTTAGTTAGCGGCGGGATCAACGAAAGGGGAGCGATCCTGATCGTGGGAAGTGGAGAGGGGACGGCGGGAGACAGGCTCTTGTTTCAGAGGCGATGGCGCGCCTAGGGGAGACCTCGCATCTCTCCTGAATGCCCTGGGGGTGTGTGAGTGTGAGTGTGAGTGGCCGCGCGACGTCTTTCGTCTGTACTTGTCTTGGGCCCTTTTTTGTTCAACCAAGGAACCTTGCTTGAGTTGAGGCGAGGGTTAAGAAAGAGGTGGTCTTTGTCTGATGGCGTATATATGTGTGTGTGTGCGCGTGTGTGGGTGGACGGGATGGTATTAAACAACGAAGGGCTCCCCCTATTTGGCCAAAGTAGGTATGCATTGATTGTCCCTTCTCTTTTTGAACTGTCTAGTTTGAAGCATCGTCAGTTGTTTTGTTTCTTCGATTACATGAGTCCATGAGTCCATGACCAGATCTGTTGTACCTGACTTGGACTCGCAAACCCAAAAGAGCAACTCGATTTAAATTAACGACGATCTCGAATACCATTCTCGGCAGTTCAGTGGTTATCGATAAGCCAAAGTCGCTATCGAATCCCGGCGCCTGCAGCGGACGAGCGCTGCCAATCGACTTAGCGAGCCACTAGAATTGTCCGAAATGACGTCCACCGTCGACCGTCCTCAGGGGGCGCGCCCACTGTCGGGCGCCAATCTGCCCGGCAACGTAGGGTGCAACGAGGAATTCCCCGACTTTTGTTTACACCACGACCACCACTCGGCCGGCAGCCAGGCGTCCACATCTTCACCCGCATCCACGACCCCTACCACCCCGACCACCGCCGAGCGCCCGTTGTCGTCTGCCTTCTCGACAACGTCCGAAAACACATCGTCCCCCGCCTCCTCTACCGCCTCACGCGTCCGTACAGACAGCGGAGCCAGCACCAACACAAATTGCTCCCCCAGCCCGAGAAGCAGACGAGACAAGACCGAGCTACAGGCCGCCCGCCTCCAGAGATCGGGGAGCAGCAACCTCGCACTCGCACGCAAGAGCAGCGTAGCCAAGAAGAACCGATTCCGTTCCGCCACAGGCTCCTCGCCCGCATCCGCCCTCGCCGCCGTTGAGCCGCCGCATGATCAAGGCCTGACGAGGATGGCTTTTGCGGAACAGCAGAAATGGATCACGGTCCAGCAAAAGACCTTTACAAAATGGTACGACGGACCCCTTTAAGTCTTTGCGGGAGGGAGAGCGGGACATCGACAACCACTCACCCTCCCCCACCCCCAACCTGGTGGCAGTTTATCTGCTGGGTGCTACAACGATCATGAACTGACTTTTGCGTTTCTTTTTACTTTAGGATGAACACCAAATTGGAGGCTCGATCGCTCGAAGTAAAAGATCTCGTGGCTGATTTGAGTGACGGTGTAAGTTGGACCCCTATTTTTCCACTGGTTTGCGGGGTTCGCTTGGCTTACAGAATTCTTCGCCCAACAACAGGTCCTCCTCATCCACTTGCTAGAATGTCTATCCAACGATACCCTCGGACGCTATGCGTCCAAGCCGAAACTTCGCGTACAACGATTCGAAAATGCAAACACGGCGCTCGACTTCATCAAGGGCCGCGGCATCCAAATGACCAACATTGGTGCCGAGGATGTCGTCGACGGAAACAGAAAGATCATTCTCGGCCTGATATGGACGCTCATTCTGCGCTTCACCATTAGCGACATCAACGAAGAGGGCATGACGGCCAAGGAGGGACTGCTGCTGTGGTGTCAAAGAAAGACGGCCTGCTACGACGAAGTGGACGTCCGCGACTTCAGCGGCAGCTGGAACGACGGACTCGCCTTTTGCGCCCTGTTGGATATCCACAGACCAGATCTGATCGACTACGACGCACTAGACAAGTCGGACCGCCGCGGCAACATGCAGATGGCCTTCGACATTGCGCACAAGGAGATTGGCATTCCCAAGTTGTTGGATGTTGAGGATGTGTGCGACGTTGCAAAGCCTGATGAGAGGTCGCTGATGACGTACATCGCCTACTGGTTCCACGCCTTTTCTCAAATGGAAAAGGTGGAAAACGCAGGACGTCGTGTAGAAAAGTTTGTGAATAACATGGCCGGCGCCTGGGATATGCAAAGCGCGTACGAAAGGCGGATGAGGGAGCTTCTGAGGCAGATCAAGGAGCAGATTGAAAAGTGGCAGCAGGCCAAGTTTGAGGGCACATACGCCGACGCAAAGGCCCAGGCGAACGAGTTTGCGGCGTACAAGCGAGGGAAGAAGAGAGACTGGGTTGCTGAAAAGAGCGAGCTTGCCACTCTGCTAGGCAACATCAAGACGAAGCTGGGCACATACCGATTGCGGCCGTATGACCCTCCACCAGAGTTGTCCCTCGAGACGATGGAGAAGGACTGGGCCGGCTTGTCACAAACGGAGATGAAGAGGGCGCAGTTGATCAACGAGACCATCAGAGAGTGAGTGTCCCCTGTATGCGATCTTGCGTATTCTAGTACTAACCCTTTGGCAGCATCAAAAACGCATTACGCAAGTCGTTCGCCGACAAGGCCAACGATTTCGCCATGGCGTTGAACACCATGCAGCTGGCAATCTCAGGCCTGGACGGCGACGTCGAGGACCAGCTCCACCACGTCCGCAAGCTCAGCGACAACCTGCCGCCACTGGACAAGTACCTCGATACCATCGCCGCCGTGGACGCCAAGTGCCAAGAGGCCAACATTGAGGAGAACGACTTCACAATCTACACCTACGACGAGCTCGTCTACGAGCACAGCCTCGTCAAGTCGTCGGTGCAGAAGAAGCTCGCCTTCCTCGACAACCAAATGGTCGCCCGCAACATGACCAACCTCACGCCCATCCAGCTCGAGGAGTTCGAGTCCGTCTTCCGCCACTTTGACCGCGACGACACCAACTCGCTCCAGGAGCTCGAGTTCAGCGCCGCCCTCGCCTCCTTGGGCCTCGTCTTCTCCGAGGACGAGATGCACGACTACTTCATGGACACGTCACACGGCCGCGACCACGTCACGTTTGAGCAGTTTATCCGCTTCATGGTCGACGTCACCGAGGACCAGAATACCGCCGAGCAGGTCTTCCAGTCCTTCCGCGAGGTCGCCGACGGGAAGCCCTACGTCACCGAGATGGACCTCCGCCACTCCCTCGTGCCCGACGAGGTCATTGACAAGCTCATTGAGATTATCCCGCCGCACAACGGGCCCGATACCTCTGAGGATAGGGGCATGCCGCAGTACGATTACATTGCGTTCATGGACAAGCTCATCAGCGACGAGAAGGGGGGCGCCGGGGCGGGCGTGCCCAGCGGCGTCTTGCAGGAGCGCACGAACCGTACTAGTATGTTGCCGCCCAAGGAGTCCAAGATGAATGGGAACCATTGAGGGATACGAGAAGGCAGTACATATGAAAAAGAAGTAAAATTCAAACCAAACTCAAAAACAAGAACAAAAAGGTGGGTAAAGGACAAATTTTGCAGGAAAGCAAAATAGTAAAACATGAAAAAACCAACACCAACACACGAGAAACCACCTCCGCAGGCCATGGTCGGGTTCGATAAGGGGACGGGTTGAAGGGTTCAACGGCAGAACGGGGGTGGGCAGGCTTCTTCTCTTCTCTCTCGCAAAAACACAACCCACACCAGGCAAATTTCCTTTTATTCCTCTTTTAAATATAACGGCACCCCATCAAGCAGGCAGGCAGGCAGGCAGGCAGGCAAAGCAAGGCATAGCAGAGAAAAATAAAACCAAATCTTCAAAGACGATAAAATACATCATGGACGTTTCCGTCCCACATCCGTCTATGTATGATTATATGATACACCGCGACCACTGTGAAGTCTATCTTATCTCGGCATGCTGGCTTGGTATATATCGTGCGTGTTCGCCGACGATCTCCGTTTCGTCAAGAACCGGCCGTGACTTTCGCGCTTGATTTCCTTTCGCGGGGTCGGGGTCGAGAAGCGTTGTCGCGCTTGGCAGGGCAGGTTGCTTGATTCGGGACTCTGACCCGAGCAGCACCATGCGTTTCGTTGTACTTTGTTGGAATGCCTTCGTAAGTTGACATTCCGGTTTACCTTTCCGCTCTACTTTGAAACTATTCATGGGCGGATAGGAGAGAAATAAGGTCGGATAGACATGTGGGTTTGTTGCTGCCGCTCAGAAAAGTATGTTACACGTTGTTTTAAACGCAATTTAGCATTGTGACGGGATACGCTCGCCTCATCCGCTCGCCATCTTCACTTTGACAAAGGGCACTGGTCCATTTTCACTCTGTCGTCTGGCCGTTTCGACGGTCTGCCAGCGCCAGCCAGTGCTCTTATACTTCCAGCCTACTTCAATCGCAACGGTCAATTATGCCTATTCAGTTTACTTCGAGAGGGTATCGTCAATTGCGACTGTACAAATCGCTCATTTTGCTGATATCGCGGCGGAGGAAGGAGTTAGCTAGACTGAGTTGGGATCACGAAAGTCGTGGCTGGCAGAAACACACAGTCAATTTAGTCCGACGGCATTAGTAGTCAAAATAACCGGTGCCTTGCAGAAACTTCCCGCAGACGGTCCCACGTGGAATATCTCTTTTTCATTGTGTAGTGTGTGTGTATATTTGTACCTCTTTGTGTGTGTATTCGGCCTGCTCTCGAACACGACCCTCCAAGTCCCAGTTGCCTCCTCTCCCCCTGCTTGATAGGACGTCGAGCTCTGGCACCACCGTACTCACATGGCTTGCCAGACTTTTGTTTGCAGAAGACAGTAATATAAAAAATCAAAACGCCATTGTCCAGTATGCTTATCCATATCCCACAGGAATCCTACAAATGAGTGCAGCAAGCTTTGTCTAGGCCGTATCTTATCTCTTCACGTTTCTTCTAACCACCTCTCTCGTTTCCTCACTTGGACCCCTCAAAGGCCCCCATGTCCTTGAGTGTAGTAGCCAGCCGTCGGTAGTCGCGCAGCAATTCGAGAACCTCGCCAATCTTCAGGTCGCCGGGGTTCTGCATCTCCATGAAGCGCTTGTTCGGCGGACTGATCTTTGGTATCTGCTTGGGCGGCAATGCAGCTGCAATATCAGGGAAAGCCTGCGAAAGTCAGTACATGGTGTTAATGTTGGAGATCAAAGTACGTACGCTTGCAAGGTCGCCGCCGTCAGCTACCTTGGTAGCCAGGCCATCCTTGGTCATATCCTTAGGTACTTCCTTCGCCGCAATGGGCGTGGATGCGGTCCGGCTCAGACCTCTGATCATGCTCATACCGGAGAACCTGGAGAACGAATTGCCAAAGTTCCTCACTGAGTCCAGAGGGTTGGTTGCGTTTCCAGGAGATGGCGTCGGCAGATCTTTCTCCCCTTCTTTGGCAAAGAGCACCTTCCTCGAGCTGTTGACGCTTCGCGAGCTATCTGCGCTATGGTCTCGACTGACTTTGCGTCCACCGATGAGGTTGAGCACCTTATCCTCGCGGACCGGGGGCCGGCGAGTAGATTCGGCCTCTTCTGTGCCATGAACCGAGCTGGCACCGCTGACGGACCCTTCCTCCTCAGGAGGCGGGGTGCTCATCAGCTTTCGAGCATCATCGAGCGTCTTGGGCACGACGAGCCCCTGGCCTGATTCGGTGGGAGTGCCCTGTGTCTCGCGCAACTTGCCGACCAAGAACTTGTAGCTATCACCCAAACTAGTCGAGATCGTCTTTATATGCTGATCGGCCGTGTTGAGCACGGCGTCACTTGCGGCACCAATGGCCTGAGCAGGCGTGTTGACGAGCTCGCTCAGTCTTCTATTCCGAGCTTGAACCGCAGCACGCAGCCCGGCCGATGCGGAAGGCGACGCAGGCGGTCTCGTTGGCGTGGCATTGCCAGAGTCGGTCTCCACCGAAGGATCCGCCGTTACCGTCAGTCCAGGCGGGAACGCCGGAGGGAATGTCTCAGCCCGCGGAGTGCCCGGCTGGCTGATACCTCTGGCAGGACCTTGGGGCAACTCATCGGCCCTTAGTGTAGACAGATCGACCGTCTCCAAAAAGCTGATGGCTGCTTCTAAATTCGTCAAGCAGTATGCGGCCTCGCCCGTCAATTTCGGCTCCCATCTAAAGTGCTGAATAAAGTGCAGGTCGCTAATAACGTTGAGATGTTCAGGAGGAAGCGTGATGAGGGTGAAGATGAGCATAGGCATAATCTCATCTGCGGATGCAGACGGGTGGAATTGCGCCAGAGTCTCGACAATATCCTTGTGTGCCGCTTTCAAGTGGTGTACCTTACCGAGCGGGTATCGCTTCTCATTCATGAGAATCAAGTCTCTTCTAGCCTGCTCAAGCGATTTCTTGATCTCTTCAACCTTTTCCGCAGCGGCTTCGGGTGTCTGAGATGCATCGTCGCCAAGATCGATTCCCAGGTCGGCCGGTCCAATGCCGACCAGCGCGAGTGCTGCGGTCTTTGATCGCAGCTTTGAATCCTGCGCTTCGTCCTGGGTGCTCTTGTGGCGGTAGATCTTGTCGTAGATACCTTCGCACAGCCTGCGCTCCACTGCCTCCTCGATGATGCCACGCTTGGCTTCGATTGCTTTCCGCGCCTTCTTCTTGTTGGCGAGTTCTTCGGCAGTAATCATCTGCTGCTCCGGCTCTGGTTTGGGGAGATTTTTGGGTTTATCCTTGCTTCCGAGGGAAGCCGCCTTGGCTCGAAGCCTGCTAGCTGTGGAGACCTTGGATGACGCGGACGGCGCAGGCGATGCATCCCGATTATGCCGTGTGATCAGACTAGAGATATGTGTGTTGACGTGTGTGGATGCGGTTTCGTAGAAACTCTGGAATAATGCAGAAACATTGTCGATGGTCAAAGGCGCGGGGTGACTTTTCGAGCTGAGAGTCTCGACGAAGCTATCCGCGGTCAGTAAATGACGTGAAGCCGAAAGAGGATGGTGCGCCATACCTGTCAGTCAGACTAACTAGTTCAATTGGAAGCTCACCCAGGTCCACAGAGCCTCTGCCGTCGAACCCATCGTCGTTATCTGTTGACGGCCTTCCAGCAGTCTCGAAAGCATCAGGGCCCTCGGGCTCGTCTGCTGGCTTCTGCTGGACCTTGCTGGCTACGGTCGTCGTCGTTGTTGTTGTCGTCGTCGTCAACGGGTCGGCCGCAGTCCCATTCTGGAATGTTTGAGCTCGTTTCGGGACTCGGAGAGGATCGCTGTCTTCGCTCTGGCGAGTGAAGGAAGGCGCCCGTATCGTATTTGGACGAGCTGCTGGGGATTTGGAGGGGCCGGTTGACGCCATAGTTTCGACGATGCTGGAAGCCATTTCCTTGGTCAGTTTGACTTCGTGGAGATGAAAAAGAAGGGATTTTCAGGCGCTGACTTGGGGCTGACAAGCAAACGTACCTGGTCTGATGTTGTCAAGGCGGCATTAAGTAGTGGAAGCGATCTTGAAACCCGATATCAGAGGAAAGAGATCCCTGGTTGTAGCACGCGGGACAGATTTATGCCATAAATGGAGTAGGAGAACAGGGATGATGGCTCGTAAGATGGCCCAAGATGGCAGCTATGTTTCTATTCGCATCTCTAACAAAATGATGTCAGTGCCGTAGATGGGTGCACGGGGTGCCTTGTGCCAGCGCAAAGCAAAGAAGAGGGCGAGGACGGGGCGAGAGAGCAATGAGGTTTTGAGGATTGTTGGTCTTTGAGCAGCTTGAGAATAGGCCGTTCCCGTGAAAGGAAGGTAACGCAGGTAACCAACCGAGCATGCCAGCTATGGTCGGTAAGGAAGACAAGTTGACAAGGTAGCTCCCGCCATGCCCCCGCTCAAGTTTTATTGGAAGCCCACAGGTGTCATCTGCAGACGGATCCGACCTTCAGTGCATGCATGTGCTGGGGGGCACGAGGAGGACTGACAGCGGATGTCTTAGCCTAAGGGCCTGATAGCAACTGTAGCTACCTTAATGTAGGTAGGCACGAATGCTCTGTACTCTGTACTTTGGGGCTTGGTCTTGATTCCTGGATTCCAATCAGTGATGGGCCCATTCTGGTACCTTGCACAACGTACCTTGTTCCGAAGCATAAATGGTGCCTCGGAATGTCATCAATGTTGGGCGTATTATCCATGGCAGCAACCCGGACGGGTTGCGACGGGATCGTTGAGTAGCCGAAGGTCCGCTGAAGATGCCCCTCGATGGTCCCCCAAAGTAGCGTGGAACGGTGGATGCCAGGCACCAGGCAGCTTCGGATACAGAAGGCATGCGCGCTATCTGAGGGGACATTGGTCACATGCTGGTGCGGGTATCCCTGATTGCGCCTTATCGGGGGACATGAGACTATAGGTACCCGCCCAGGGTAGCTGTTAAGCCGGCTGCAGTCTTGACGACATAAAGTCTTAACGCAGATCCGGAGGCGGAGACCTTTTGGCGCAGGGAGTGGGTTATCGGGCCTGATCTGTGCACTCTCCGCGAGTCGGAGGCAACGTAAACAGCGCCAGCGTCGTCCACCTGATGCTGTCATAACTTGGGGCACGTTGTCTGCGCATCTCAACGTCGGCATCATTGATCCTCTTGTACTCATCTACCTCCACGCGTCGCCTTCCGCGAGACCCAACCTCTCGTTGCTTTCACTCCCTACTCTTCGTCAACCATTATTCCTGGATGCGACTTCTTTTTCTTGTGTCTTGAGACAACCATGAGACTCAAATTAGGGCGAGGGGGCCAGTGTAGCTCTGCTGGCAGGGTTACGGCACAGCTGCTCTTATCGTTCCTCGCGGTATCACCGACTCTAGCTTCCGTTGGGGAAGTGCCAAACAACGACGACGCCGTCCTTCAACCAGGACCTTTACTTCCACCCAGCACCGCACAACCCAACACGGGCGAACACATATTTACATTACGACACATTTTCCACCATGGAACATATCGGCATCCTCAGCTGCACCGACGCAAGGATGTCCGCCACTCCGACGGCGCCGATAACCAGGTCTGGCTGGCGGAGGAGGACGGATACAAGAGGGAAAGGGTGATGCCTCTGAAGGCCCAGAGCACGCCTCTCAAGATCGAGCGCATGGTTGATCGTCGGCCGTCTGTCGTTGATCCCATGGTCACCGAAGCTCGTCAGCGCGGCTATGTCAACATCATGTCGCCATCCGATTGGACTACCGACGAGGTCCCCGGACCCAACGTCACGGACAAGGCCACGGTTATCAGCCTTGCCATCATGGCTGCAAACGCTTACATTGAAGAGGAGGGCAAGGCGGACTGGGAAGAGGTCGGCAGCGGCTACAATAGGAGCGCTGATTTCGGATGGGAGGGTGACGGACTCCGGGGGCACATCTGGGCGGACGAGACGAACTCGACTATTGTTATTGGCCTCAAGGGAACTTCTACGGCCATCTTTGACGGAGAGGGAACCACCACCAACGACAAGGTCAATGACAACCTCTTCTTCAGCTGCTGTTGTGCTCAGCAGGGGCAGTGGACCTGGCATCAAGTGTGCGACTGCGCCACATCCACCTACTCATGCAACAACACCTGCGTAGTGCAAGCGCTCAAAGACGAGCACCGATACTACACGGCGGCCAAGGAACTGTACTCGAACGTTACCGAGCTGTTCCCCGACTCCAACATCTGGCTGTCGGGCCATTCTCTCGGGGGCGCAGTCAGCTCCCTCCTGGGCCTGACCTACGGTATTCCCGTCGTGACCTTTGAGGCCGTGCCAGAGGCGCTCGCCGCCAGCAGACTGGGACTGCCTGTTCCTCCAGGATACGATCAGATGCTTCACCAGGCTCGCACAGATACCGGCGCCTTCCATTTTGGTCATACGGCAGACCCCATCTACATTGGGACCTGTAATGGTGCTACTGCGACGTGCTCCTTTGCTGGGTATGCCATGGAATCGGCCTGCCATTCTGGACTTGAGTGCGTTTATGACGTTGTGGCCGACAAGGGATGGAGAGTCGGCATCGGAACCCACAAGATCCGATCTGTTATCCACGATGTCATTATGAAGTATGACACGGTCCCAGAGTGCAAGGCTACGCCCGAATGCCGCGACTGTGCCAACTGGAAAATGTATGAGAGCAACGGGACCGAATCGACCACGACGTCCAAGTCCTCGACAACATCGAAGACGCGTACTCGGACAGCCACCTGCCAGACGCCGGGCTGGTGGGGTTGCTTGGATGAGACCACGACGACGCCGGTTACCACTACTACTTCCACGTCGACCACGTCCACTTGTAAGACCCCTGGCTGGTTTGGATGTAAGGACGAGACGACCACGACTACGACCACTTCGTCTTCAACTACGACTGCAACAACGACGACTACTTGCAAGACACCTGGATGGTTTGGCTGCAAGGACAAGACTACATCGACCACGAGCACGACTTTGTTCCCCGGCGCAACCCCGTCTCACACCATCACTGCCGCGCCCACGGCCACCCCGACATCAGCGCCCACCAAAGCAACCCCTTCAGATCCTCGCTGCAATAAGAGGTACTGGTTCGGATGGTGTAAAGAATGGACCCAGGCGGGCGAGAGCTGGAGTGAGGAGATGTGATTTGCATAGGTCCAGATTTACCTGTACTTTTGGGTTGAAAGGGATGCGGGAGCATTACATGAATTAACAGGCGGCGTTTGGTCATGGGAACGGAGTACACATAGGAGCTGGCAATGCTAGCCACAGATTAGCAATTACAAGTCATAGGAAACTATGCAAACAAGCTTGGAATATAGAACATCATATCAGGGTCTCATCTGCAATGATAAGTTGACATATATGGTGTTGGCAGGTTTACCTTACCTACCTTAGGCAGCCGTGGCCGGTCGCCTCAAGAAATCGGGTAACGGCGCACGGAGGTAACGCCCCTTAAGCCCCACTGAGGGACTTGGGGCCGTTGGTTGCTGCCCGCTGCCCGCTAACTCCCGATTCGCTTGTAATTGGTACCTTGCCGGAAGGTGGTTCTAGGAAAGTCGAATTGTCAGACGTCACAAGTGCCGCGACGTCCGCTACATCTACAATTTTTTTTTTTTACCCTTCTGGACGCGTCTCACGCAGACACTACTTTACCACCCTCAACGTCAAAACTCTCCCCACGCAACCCATTTCACTCGAACAGGCCGCCGGCTGTACACGCCGCACCTCTCACAGCGCGGCAGACATGGGCTAAGGGCCCAAATCCACACCTTTCAATTCGACCGACGCGATGGCTACAACGGCAAACGACACCAAACCTTCATCGCGCGATGAGTCTTCGGACTCGAGCGGCAGCGACAGCGAAAATGAGACCCCGACAGTCGCCACTCCGACCACAGTAGAATGGTTGGCGACCGGTCGAGAAAAGCGGTCTACCGCCGGTAACCGCATGAAGTCGATGCTCGCCAACGAAGAACCCGATTCGGACCTCGAACTGCTTTTTGCCGAAGACGACAACGACGAAGGCTTCAGCAATGTCGACGATGCTGGTTCCGACGTGCAGATGGACTCGTCATCCGACGACGAGGATGACCAGCAGCAGGGAGACGACCTTGAGGGCGAAAAGGAGCTCGAGAAGCAAGCCAGGGAGAAGAAGCTAGCGTCGCGGAAACGCAAGGCCCAGGAAGCTATCCCGGCCAAGTTCAGAAAAAAGGTCCGCATCGAACAAACGGCCGCACCCGCGCCGCGGCCGAAAAAGAAGTCGGAACGGACGAGCTGGCTGCCCTCGGCGGCTGACATGCCTATCCGCGCCTCGCTCCGCCAGACGACGATGCTCAGCAAGGAGCAGCTGCACCAACAGATGAAGGAACGCGAGGCGAAGCGGTTGAAACAGGTGGCCATCATGGAAAAGAAAGCAAAGAAGCTCGAGGCGTCCAAGAAACCGCCCATGACACAGGCGGAACGGTTGGCTGAGGCGGCCCTCGTGGAGAAGCGCAACGCAAAGTCGTTAAACAGATGGGAGGTGGCCGAAAAAGCGCGAGAAGAAGAACGCCTTGCGAAGCTCGCCGCTCTCAACAACCGAACACTCAAGGGCCCTGTGGTGACGTACTGGAGCGGCATTGGTGAGTGGGAGCATCATCTGAAGCACGTTGGCAGGGTCGCCGAGGAAGAGAAGCCCGTTCGGAAGAAGAGGGAGAAGAAGGAAAAGGTGGATAAGACGAAGGGCAAGGAGGAGGGCTCAGCGTCGAATGCTTCTGAGCCGACGCTGCCTGCACCGACGACAGAGACGACAGCAGAGGCACAGTCGAACGCAAAGCCTGACGCTCCGCCAGCCCCCCCGACGTCAATGGATGTCGACCAAGCTCAGCAGAACGATGCTTCAAAGGCACCGTCGCCATCGACACCCGTTCCGCCCGTCCCCACAGACCCTCCACCGATAGTGAAGACGGAAGAGCGCCCCCGTGTGATGGCTCCCCCACCCATTCCTCCACCGCCATCGTCGTCACTCGCCATGCCCAAGCCTGAAGACAAATCCAGGATCATGGCACCACCATCAATGCCACCACCGCCGACCTTTGGCTCCATGTCCATGGCTCCTCCCCCTATTCCGCCACCTCCAAAAACATCGGTATTGGCAGCTCCAGTGCTCGCGCCGCCTGTTCTTGCCCCTCCCTTGGGTGGCATCCACCTTGCTCAACACACGACGCAGCCAAAGTCCAATGTTCTGGCGCCTCCGAATGTATGCCAGCACAAGTCTCCTCTATCCATGCCGGCTCCTCCCCCTCCACCATCAGCAAGACCGCCGCCGCCGCCACCTTCACTAGCACCACTCCAGCCGTCACAACCAATCGCTCTGCCGAAGCCTCCATCACAACCGACGGTCGATCCCTCTCGTCCCGCACTGCCTACGACTGCGCCTGCGACTGCGACTGCGCCGGCAGAAGCACCGGCGCCTGAGGAGCCTCCCCCGAGCGAGGTTGCTCGCAACGCCTTTATTCTTCGCAACTTTGACGAAGAGCGTGTGCGTGACAAGACTGTACAGACCCAGATTCTCTTTGGACGGCGGATGGACCGCCTTGCGAAGCCAGCGCCCCGGCCAGTATGTGTCATTACCGCCCACCCCGCTCGCTACCGCGACCCCGAGACGGGTTTACCTTATTTCAACGCCTATGCGTACCGCGAAATTCAACGACTCCGCCGCGGCGAGTACAAGTGGAGCAGCCTGCTCGGCGCATGGGTCGGCAGCTGCACATATGCCGCTCGCGGGGTGCCGGAGCGGTTCCTCAAGGGAGGTCCGCCAAGACAGCCAAAGAAGAAGGAGGTGGAAAAGGAGGAGGCTAAGGTTCCAGAGACAGAAGCAGAGAAAGGCAACGGCGCCGTCGGGGAAGGCACCGAGAAGCAGGAACCCAATGATGCCAAGACGACACTGCCTGCTCAGGAGGGAGTGGTGGATCAGCCGACAACCAAGACGGATGCCGCGACGGTGCCCTCACCGTTACCGTCGGCGGGGCAGGCACAGACGCAGCCGCAGACCCAGCAGCCGCCGCCGCCGCCAGCCCAGCCGCAAGCGCCGCAACCACCACCACCACCACCAGGCCAAGTTCAACCCACCCAGGACAAGGAAGTGAACTTGGCCGTCACCGAGTCTGCCACACAACCCGCTGCCGCTTCGGTTGCGACCGTTGTCTGAGTAAGGACAAACTCTATGGGAGGCCCGCCTGAGTAGTTGAGCAGAACAGAAAATACGTTTAACGGGAACGAAAAAGCCACGGCTATTTGAGGATTTTCATCGGACGGTTTGTTCCTGCGCCCTGAACAAATATAGGCTCCGACCGATCAGATCGGAGAGAGTGGGCCGAAACAAGGCACACACCAACATACACACATACCTACACACGGGGAGTTCAGAGGGAGGGTAGGAGGAAAGTCAAAACATGGGGCCAGGGCTCGACTTCCGAGGTCCCCAATGTTCACGGGCGTTTATCAGGCCGCTTGCTGTATTGGGTACGGCGTTATATATGGCCTTTTTGGTGTGGGATGGGACGGGGATACTGTACTTCTATTGTGATAATACCCGCAGGGCAAGTTTTCCCTCGTTGAAAGGTGGGAAAGATATGCTCTGCCGTTCTCGGAAGTGCTCTGAGAAACTTGAACAAATGCTTCACTCTGTCCTTGTGTGTGTTGTTCGTTTCCTTTGCATCACTGGTCATCACAGTATGGTATTGTTCATAAGTACTACCAATGAGACATGTGATCACTACATCAGAGCAAAGGGTCCAGTTCAGTATCTCGTGAGTTGTCCAGCGAAATAGAATTCCGGAACTCCACAGCATTCCGGGTGATTCTTCTCGGCCGGGAGAGAAAAGACCGACGAGACACACATAACCCCCCTTTCTTCCCCCCCGTGTCGTCAAAAGTCTCTTTTTGAGATTTCCCTTCTCCCACCTCGTACGTAGTGACACAATTCAATGGTATCAATGGGCCCTCGGAAGCTGGATGATGAAGCACGAAAGGGGGGGTGGCAGACCGAAAGCAGACTGAGCTGCTGGAGGCCGGTATGGCTGGCTAGGTGGTACGGTTGGGCTGGAGGGCATGAAAAACGCTATTTAAGAATTTGTTTGGACGTTGGGGGTGTAGTGGTTGACTTTTTCTCGTGCCAGATCTCTTTCTCTCTCTCTCGCGCGCGCGCCGAAGAATGTTGGGATGGTTTTTTTTTTTTGTGATCAGACCAGGGCAGGTTTACGTACGACTGTAGACAGACCACTTACAACCCACGGCCCATAGGGTGGGTGCTACTTTGAGTGAGCGAAAAGCTTAATTTGAGGTGTGGTCTCGACTTTCTTGTTCCGGGCATGAGTCGTGATAGATGCGGACATGTGGGAACGCATGATCAGGAGGAAGATGTCAGGTCCAGGGTAGGGAAGTGGTAGAAGGTGGAGGTTCGAGGGAATGTAGCGCCGTTGGACATGGTCAGACTCGGAATTCAATCTTTGATCGAAAACACTATCAACGATGCGTGGGATATAGGTGGATGGAGGGGACGAGGTTACGTGGTTGCATTCTGTACACCACGCCATCTCATACAATCTATCTACGGAACTCCCACTCGCAGGCGTGCCTCACCAATACATCCGTTTACGCGCGCGAGCAGAGTAGCAGTAGTAGTAGCATTGCAGGAAGTAAGGCTGTTGACACGGAGCCGCAAATCCGACGTTGAGCCTCACCAAAGCATGCTTCGCCTTTCTTCCCCTGACCATTCGGCCCCTTCACCTTCACGTTGGATAAGCCTGCCATACCATACCATACCACACCACCACGTACACAACCAACCTTCCCAACCTTTCGGGTTCGATATCGGATTCCCGTCTCTCCCTTCCAACCATCCGAAGCTTTCACTCATTCCCCGTAGCCGTACCTGGCCTTACGTACCTCTCTCTCCCTCCCCTCTCTATAATTCTCTTGGGCGTACGTACGTATACACACACAATCAACATTTACGCTCACTAATACATCGTCGTCCCATGTTCAAGGTGCTGCGGTCTCAGTAAGACCCTCCGCTCTTCTGAGCCTTTTCTCTCCCTCCCACCCCTACTTTCTTACACAATCCCACTGGGTGCCGATTGGGTATGAATAATAAGCAACCGGGCCATACAACCCCTTCCATGCACCGTTCAGAATTTTGAGTACCTAGTTTCTGGTGCCTGGATAGGTGCCTGGCTGGTGTGGGAACATACCCGGATACTTCCTAGGCTGGACGAGGATTGTGATCGCAAATATAGGAACACCCTCACTATACCTCGCTGAAATACTCGCATCTCCCCCAATCTCCCGTGTCAACTCTCTTTTTCTGTTCCGACGTTGACATCACTTGGCGAAGAATTCGCGGGTGTAGGGAGAAGTACGCTATACCGCAGAGAGAGTCCATTTGAGGGGTCTCGTAAGTTGAACAGGATCGCAATTCAACCGCTTCTTCCTCTATCTTCGGACCCCCTTCTCGCATACCCCTCCCGTCTCTCCGAGGAGCGAGTCCCCTTGGACACACACGTGTTAAAACACCGTTATCAAGAGACACACAACAGGGGACGGACCATCGTATCTGAGTACATGTCGTCATTCTTCCCCAACGTGATCGGGGAAATCACGGCATGTAGGGCACGGTGATAATCACTTTGCCTTGGGAAGACGGATCATGACCATGACGATGGACCATGGCGGCGCTCGCCGGACACGAATAGTGCATGCCGTAGTCAAAAAGTGACCAAGACGAAAACGGGAGACATCAAGAACTCCAAACCAAGACTGATGATTTAAATTGTGAGATCCAATCAGGAATGAAATATCAACCGCCAATACTATCTCACAACCTTCAACTAGCCAGTAAAATTCATGAAGAAGGCTTCCGTATCTCAAGCCCCAAATTACTGCCGCTGTCCCAAAGTAAACATCGTGAAAAATACTGGAGATAATGTAGGTCTTGAAGAGAATGAAGGGAAAAGGGGGGGAAACGCCCGTCGGGAATCTGGTCCAACCAACTACACCTACACATCGTCGTCATCCCCTCCCCTCCCATACCGTACCTTATCCCAAGAGGAGACAAAAACACCCAAATGACATGCATGGCTAAGCTTCTTTCATGGTTTGATGAACACATTTCCCCTCTCGGATGGCTCTTAGTAGGAACTGGGATTTTCTCTCCCGCTGGCTTAACCGCTCATGCTAAGCATCCTCTTCTCCCTCGCTTACTCTTGCTCAACTCTCAAGCTTGCCGACATAACAACCTTCACCCACCCACCCAACCATATTCTCACATCCATGGCACACACACACAGACAAACAACACTCACCGTTGGACCAATCGCCGTGGTGCCCCTTCCAGCTCGTACGAGGCCCTCGGCCGAGCCTCACAGCAGCTCTCCAATCGTCCACCGCCCACCACTCCGAATCCTTTGAAACCGCAACCGTGAGTGCACAGATGGTATTCGTAGGCGCGTAAGCAGCAAAAAAGAAGCTTGTTGAGCCAGAGCCTCGAAATGAGCCAAGGTTGCTTGCTTCTCGCGGGAGGCTAAATCAGTCAGTGACCCATGCTGCAATTTAACAGCCGGCGGTAACCCGGGACGTTGCAAGCTAACAGACGGCTTCTGTCACTTGGCATATGGGGGAGGAGACAGTTTCAAGCTTCTTGAGTCATTGCAGATGTTTCATTCAGATTCATCTATCACGATCTCTTCGTTCCGCCTAAAATGGCAACGCTAGTTTGCAATGAGTAACCGTTTCCCATCAATGAAGCTTGCTCAATGCAGCCACAGCAAATCCGATCCAAATACTCCAAACACCTTGGTAATGTGTACCACATTTGCGCCGTTGCCCGTTGCCCATCTTTTCCTTTGTGTGATGTCCATTCCATTGTCCCCAGAGTTCCTCAAAATGTCCACCACATAAAGCGCCGTTGGCATGAAAGCCATGAGTGGTAGTAGCTGTAGAAGGGCAAGGAAAGGGTATATCTCGTCCAGTACTCCGTCCAAAATCCGATTCCTTTTTGTGAATATGAGCTAGTCAGCCCTGTGCCCCAATGGGGAAGGCTGATGCGATGCCGCCTTTTCGTATAACCTGATATGTAATCCGTCTAGGTGGCTTTGGTTGTGTGCTTAGCCATCGATATATACGACGGTAGTGCAGAGTCACCGTGTAGTGTGACCTGCGTAGTAAATTTCTGTTCAGATGCCCTTGCCGCGGATGACATCAACCATCCAGCCCATCTCATTGACCAAGTCGTCAAGGCCGTTGTCAGCGGGGGCGGCAACCATGGTGTGAACACCGGGGTGAACCTTGATGCCGGGAGCCCGGGGCAAGCTGTAGTTCTGCTCCAGAGACGGCTTCCTGGTGCTCGGAAGAGACAAGGGCTGAACGAAGTTGGCATCGCTCTCGTTGGAGTAGCGATCCTCTTCGGTAGAGTCATAGAAGGATGGAGTATCATCCTCAGGAGAGATGGGGCCAATGGAGGAGGCGACGCTGGAGTCAGACGAAAAGGAGAAGCGCGAGGCGGATGGTGCCGTCGCCAGGTCTCTCAGCGTCTTGTTGACGGGAAGAGGAGGGAGAGGCGAGTACTTCTTCTCGCGTGTGAGAACTCGCGGGGCGTGCACTACCGGCAAGGTGCTGTCAGAGTGGGAGCGTTTGAAGGGCGGTGGTGACAGGCTGGTCGTGTAGGGGTTGACCTCGTAGGCCGAGTTGGCAAAGTTCTCATCATCGTCTCCCTCCTCGGCAATGTCGTCGGGGATAACAACAGGCGGACGCCCATATGCGCTAGAGGAAGCGCTGGAGAAGGGGTTCTCATCGGAGAGGAACCGTCTCAGGGACTCTGGGGAAAGATCGCGAGTTCGGCTTCCCTCAGATGAACCGCTTCTGTTGTCATCCGAAGAAGATCCAGAGTACGGTGAAAGAGGGCGGTCCTCATCCTCGGATTGGCGGCCACGCTCAGCAAGCCGGCTGGTGGACGGCTTCCTGTTGAACATGCGACGCCAAGACGGCGGCGGGGAGGTAGAGCCGGCGCGGGAAATGGATCTGCCAGATTGTGCGGCCGGTGCGGAGCCCAATCTTCGAATTGAACCGCCAGGCACTGGTGGTGGCGGCCTGGGCGTAATGAACTTGTCTTCAGGGTTCATAGTCTTCTGTTCACCAGGACGGAGCGAGCCCAACGATGCGCTCCTCTTCCTCTCGGCCACTTCGTAAGGGACATCCAGAGTGTTGACAGTCTGTCCAGGAAGGTAAGGGCAGTTGGTGGTGGTAGGCAGTGCCGGGTTGTGCGACTCTTGCGTTCCATCAATCTCGTACTAAGACGTGTTAGTGCGCGGATCAACCTAGCCTCGCCAGATAACCTACATAGTAGTAGTAGGTATTTCCCATCTTCAGGCCGCCGTTGCGCTTGGTATCCCTCGCACCCAAGTCGTCGTCCAGAACAATGTCCTTGAAAGTGTGGCATCCGCGCCATTGGCCGCGATCTCGTCGAATATCTCGTTCCATGGTGTATGGTTTGGTGAAGTTGTCCCAGGAGCCGACCAAGTGTACTGATCTTACAGTCGGATGAGTCTGACTACATAGTCGTGATGGTCAGCGAAGGGAAGTAGAGGGGTTGCTTCTGGTAATATATATGAAGAGCAAGTGAGAAGGTATGAAGCATGATGCGAAAGCCAAGACACCAGCCACTGGGCTTGCGCCGAGCATCAGACCTAGTCCCCTGTCCCCCACCCAGGAGCGGACGAGGTGCCGATCACCGTCGGCGACGATTTTTTTTTGGCTTTGCAAGGTGTTTGACGGAGTTCTCGGAAGGTTGCCGCTGAGAAGCTGGTAATGGCAGGTGAGAAGGTGTGAGGGGAGGAACGGGCGCAGGCCAGGGCCGGGGAGGTAGGGCATAGCATAACCCGATATAAACTTTTCCATCCGACAATGTTCGAAACATGAGCCCAAGCAGACGGTTAAGCAGAAGCAAACAACCTTCGGCGCCGGTCCCCGAATGCTTTCCCCGACCCTTTGAGGAAACCGAAGAGATGTGTGTGAATGCTAAATGAGGAGAGGCAGCGAACTCTCGCAGACCTTGTGCTTCATTCGGCCGTACTGGGATTTGTGCAGGAGTCATGTAGGAGGCGTGATGGGACGAGGGGATCGAGGCTATTGGCCAGACATACAATTATGCGAGTTCGAACGAGAGGGCGATCGATCTTGTTGGATTTGGAGCGAAAGCGACGCCAAAGTTTCGACCAGCGAACGGGAGAAGAAAACGAAAGCGAGATTGCAAAGAATTAGATAAAAGCGACTCACAGCATGAACGTAAAGAGCGTCGTTGTAGGGTCCATGATGGGAAGCTAGAAAAGAGACAGAAGCCTGAATCAAATAGGGTCGCGGGGTGTAAGCCTCAATTAATGGAATGTTTGTCCCGCTGTGCCGCGTCTGTTGGTACGGGTAAAGCTGGGGAAGGAGGCTTGGATCTGCACGTTGGCCCGGCCGGCGTGGTGTAAGTCGACTTGGCCGGCGTTGGTTGGGATACCACAGTCTAATTCGATATCAATGAAACGCCAGGAGCAGTCCCATTCTGTCTGGATAGACGCAGAGAAGCACCAGGTTGAGGACAGGCGAGGCAGATTTGAAATTGAGGGACAGGGTGGGCGGCCAATGGAGGGGACTGGATGTGCGTGGAAGCGCCGTGTTGGTGATCTGGAAGGGCGAAGTCGATCGCTGACTGGCGAGCGCTTAGAGAAACAAGCGGGCGGGCCCTAGGCATGCAGAGCAAAGACGGCAAAGCAGGTACGGTTTCTAGGTTTGGAAACAGGCGAGGTAACGGAGGAATTGTAAATGTCCAGATGGGGTGTTAGAGGTTGAGATGGTCGCCAGGTACCCCGTCTCGAGTAGGTTGGTGGTGGACTGGTGGTTGGGTTTGGAGCCTTTGGCGGACCGGTTTGTGGGAGGATGACGGAGTACGGAGTACGGTGTATGGACAGGTACGGGATAGTTGTCGAGGAAGTTTCTTTCGAGGTCGCTCTGCAATAAATATGAACCTCGGACGGAAACGGGGGCACGTCTCGCGAGCCTTGGACGGAGTTGGACCCAGGATCTTGTAAGCTGAAGCAGTAGCGCGGGTGAGAGAATAATTAGACGGTGGTAGCAGAGATGCTCAACAGGCCGGTCTGACCAGTGGAAGAGCGAGAGCCAAGCCAGGGTCTCCCAGTCTATTTGAAGGGGCCCTCGACGGGCACTAGCGAAAGACAAGAGCTGAAGGAGAGGCGTGGTGGGCTCTTGTGGATTACCGAATGGTCCTTGTACTCGATCTGGCGACGCTTTGAGCGCCCGCAAGCCCCCTTCTACCTCTGGTAATTCCGTAGGACCCGCGCGAAGCCCCAGTCGGAGGAGGCGTCAATGGTGAAGGTAGTTGGACCAGATTGGGAAGAGATGAGGCGGCGACAGCGGCGTTGGGCGACCTAGGCAGAAGAATCGTGGCGTTCCAACTTTGTACACAAAAGTAGACGGGCCTTTCCTGACGCAGTTGGTAGCGTGGCAGAGGCTGCTGAAGCCCTCACGAGGCCTGAAGAGCAAAGGCGAGTGTCCGTACTCTGTACTCCGACTGCGTAGCAGTTCATGCAGCGGGCTACTATGGCCAGGGCTAGCAAAGGCTCGACAGGCCATGTGGGTTGAGCTTGACTCCTTGTTCGAGGTTGAGTGCCGGGTGCAGGAGCAGGGGGATGTTGCCGTGCGGGAGGATCTATTGGACGATGTGCTTTAATTAAGGTCCGTTATTGTAAGGTACCGTGCAGTGGGGATTGGCCAGAAAGCTGCGAGGAAACAACCTTGAAGGTGACTTTTTGACTGGAGCCCTGGAGACTGGAGCCCTGAAGGTCGATTTGATCAAGGTGACGTTGGGACCGTCTCAGGACCGCAAGCAGAAAAAGACGGCGGTTGGCTGTTGGTTCGTGGCGTAGCCAAGTGTTGGTTTGGGTATCTTTGTATCTCTCTATTTGCGGCGCAAGGTGACAGGGCAAGGTGAAGTCGAGACTCGAGACTTGAGGCGGCCGAAAGATGGCCAAGCCATTTGCATTTGAGACGGCTGACGGCAGCCAAAGGTCAGAGAAGAGAGCTCTGTGTACCTTACACGCAGTACCTGGATAGTTGATGATTTGTGCATGTGCTTGTGCGTATGACATACTACGTACACCGTTCTGTACCTGCAGGATGCAGCCTGGAAACCGTCAGAGCGAAGCACCTTGCGTGCGCCTTTCTTGCCTCAAAATGTCGACCGTGACAAGCAGACGGGAAAACGGAAAGAGCAGAGGCATCCGTTCCTGTCTCGTTTGGCGCATTCGTCTTCCCCTTTGAGAAACAACTATCGCGGAGCGTCAGTCATCCTGAAAAGTCTACCTACCTACCTTATGTAGTAAGCACGTACAAGAAGTAGGTAGGTGTGGTGGCAGGCACGCCTTCCTTCTGCCTCTACCTTACTCTACGTGGAAGAAGGCAGGTACAGCACGACGATGGTGATGCCAGTTTGGGTTTGTGTTTCGTGTATTCCTTCCTTCCTTCCAAATCCCCCGTGCCTATTCCCCGAGCACACCACTCGTCATACTGGGCAGTCACCACTCACCACCCAGTCCTCTCCTTCCACGACAACGCTCAGCGGGTGAACCGTGTCAGCCCCAGAGCCAATCAGTTTCGGTCTCCCGGTACTGTGGACGGCGAGAAAGCCCCACGCCGACCTCCGTCGGCCTCTACGCCCAAGACTCCGAGACCGCGCCCTCCCTGTTGGTCGCCCGTCACAACCTGCCGTTATCCGACTTGATATATGCTATACTCCGTACTGAAAAGCACAGATCAGACATCCAATATGATGCTGAGAGAAGCGCCGCGGGCGATCAAACACTGCACATTCGTCAGCAGGCAAGGCACCCAGGCGGCACACCTCGATCGATCAAATTGGCTGTATCCGCATGTGCGGTGTATCGTGTACCCCAGCCAATACCTGGTTTCATTACCAATGCTTCCCGACCCCAGATGTACCTCTCGACGACATTGGACGAAGCCCACCCGACTCCTACACTGCCAATTTCACCAGTGACCTCACTTCGGTGCTCCACAGCACACCACACGATACACTACAAACACAACAGCACGCCGTCGTGGAATCTCCGCGACATCCGTGCTGCATTTCAGCATGAAAAGCAAGCCTCACATGATGCCACCGACCGCGACGTCTCCCCAATGACGTGCCTGTCATTCAATCGTATCCCGGGCCTCATCGTCAGGCCGATCTTCTTGTGGTATCGCCGACGTGGCAGCCCCCAGCTAACCAGTGTTACTGATTTGATCTAAGTTGACAACAGTCTAGACATGATACCCAAGGGCCAAATACCACCTCAACCCGGACACGCAGCAATGCAGCAACCCAGGACAACCGCATTGTCCGTTGCCCCGATGCAGGGTCCCATTCGGCGTCATACCTCGATGGCCGTTCGTCGAGATATGCAAATCACGGCCGACTGGTTCCGGTGCAATCGCCATTTCCATCCGAGTCCAGCTGCCTTTGACCGCCAATGTCTCACTCTCTCATAGATGACCGGCTGGTAGATAGTATCCTGTGGCTTGGTGCCAATAGCTTGTTGGCGTTCCCGGCCCTAGTCGCTTCCGTCGCAGCTGAATTCACCCAAGCTAGTTCAACGGCCATGGCTATCGCTTCTCGACCATCGAGATGAATCGGGAACCCGCCAATCCAGATCGGACCTGCGCCGAACTGGAGTCCGTCGACGGAACATTACTATCCACTCCACCACCACCAATGATACTACATACAGACCGGATCGTGACAGGCGTTCAAGCCATTGAAAGCGGTATGTCTCCGCTGTGGGGAGGTAGCTGCGGCCACCGAAGGGCACTAGCGCAAGGAACTAGGTGCAGAAACCCTGCATTTATTCCTTTGTGGTGTTGTGCAGCTCTCTCTCGCGGCCGGTAGCAGACCTGTAATGCTAAACGCTTCCTCGTCCCTCCACAGCGTTGACATTGCATAGCTTCGCGTTAGAGACCTCCTGCCACAGATCTAGCGTCGCCTCTGGTACCGGTGGAACGGGAGACTTTGGTCGTACACGAATGGCGCATCATCTAGCCGTTGGCCAGAGGACGGCAGCAAATGCAATGGTTGCATCACACAGGGCGGGCAGCAGGCAGCTCTTTCAAGATGGATCGGAATGACTTGGCTACCTAAATCTCACGTCCCGGATGCCCGCGGTGCCGCCTAATCTACCTGCTTGCGTCTTGGAGTCGTACTCTTTGCAAGCTCGATATTCTCGAGCTGGCGTCAAAGGCTTGAGCATGGCTACCCACCACGATTTACGCTCGTATGCTTTCTCCATGCGACGCGGCGCCGAGTCGAGACCTCGTGATGAGCGACTCCCAGACCGCCGCCGACTTGTCTCGTGCAGAATCGGCGATGCCTCAAACAGTTGTGGTTGCCCAACAACTCTAATCTCGAACTGAGCGACGACTTCGTAATCGGTGTTAGGGAATAGCAGACTCGGCCGGCAGGCTGCATCCTCCCCTCGGTTCCGCGCTCTGCAAAGACTGCAAGGTTTCAATGGTCCTAGCTTAACGGTTACGGCCGACTCCATACTCGTCTCAACTTGACTCGACAGCTACGTTTGTTTTGCAATTCTCAAACAAAGCGGTAGAAGCCGACTGTGCGCGCGGCCACAACCTGGTGCTTTAGTTATTTTTTCACGACTCGGATCCATTCTATCCACGTCACAGGAAACATGTTTATCGCCGTCCTCAGTTCGTCTGTACTGCATTCGACCTCTCCAGACCCATCACCCGCTGGTTGTCTAAGCTTCTCCCCGACTCAAACGAACTGTCATGTCTGAAGATTGGAGTTTGCCACATAGGTCCTGGCTGAGGCACAGTGTCGCAGTCGAAAACTAAGAACTCCGGGGGCCGTCGGGTGCCGAACAGTTCATTGGCTGTCGTGCCTCCCTCGAGGTAACGTCTGGAAGCCAACAGCCGTTAAGGGTCCAACCCAACGCCAGAGTGGAATGAACCCTTGTTCACACCCAATCTCCTGGTTCTCCTGAGCGAGTGTGTTGTAAGACATTCAATATCACGAGAGTGTCCACACTGCGGTGGGATGTCTCAAGAAAAGCAACGCCGGAGCAATGCTGTGGCCGTTGGTTTTCAGGAGTGGGTAACAATTAACTCAAACTTCCCGACCCTTAGCGCTCCAACTCGAACTTGCAATTGTGGCTCGAAGAAGCGCAGTGGTGTGTACTACCTCGCAGCCGTGGACCTGCTATTGCGTGGTACCGGACGAAGCCATTTGCAGTCATACCAGACGCCAGATGTTATCTCGTAATTGCTCACCTCAGGCAAGCAGGGAGTAACAAGCACGGCTATATCCATTCCGCCTATTGCGGTACGTGTAAGTGAACCCAACTCGAAAGATCAGCATTGTTCTCCACGATATCCATCCAGCTTGCGGCGCCGACTCCCCGAGGCCCTGACCCGTTCGAACTCCACGTCCCCGGACTTGTCAAGTGTCAAATCAATCAAACAATCAGGCCTCAGCCTGCCTCAATGAGGCCTCTCTCCACTGGCCGTTCTTTGGGGTTTCCGCTGGAAAAGCACGGAGGTCGTTGTGATCATGACAAAAATAATGGTCTTTTTCCAAACGCGCACTGAGTTCGAGTGTTGAGTGAGTGGGAGAGATAGTCTCCCGGGTGTCTCCCATGCCTTTGTTTCGTGGCACGGTCTGGTGTTTCCAGTTCGCCGCCCGTTTCAATGTGCGCGCGTGTGCGCATGTGTGTAGGTGCGCGCATCCCGTTTATTGTGAGTTGTTCTGTTCTGTTTCCAAATATCATTGCACGAACGGGTAGAATCCTTCCAGGTGACCAGGAGGAAACAGATTGTCGGATGATCCTGATCCAGGCGTGGCGGTGCAATGAGAGACTATTCTTCATGCAAAGCAAGGTACAATGTTAGCCGTCGTGATCGTAGGACGATATGGAGTTGCAACTTGGCGAGGAGTCATATGTTTTGACGCAATGTTCATTAAACATTATGATTAGAGAGGAACACCAGTCCATTCTGAAAAATGTGAAGGAAAAAGTTGGGAGAGAAAGCCGGCTAGGACCCACGACCTTCCTGTGATCTCGAGGCCCGCCATGTAAGTGCAGCGAGGTACCTAACCTCAGGTGAAGGATCCCAAAAGCTACATCGCCCTGTCGCGAGATTTACTAGTAACCAAAATGTATAAAAAAGGAGAGAAGCCGCCCACAATGGCGTCACTTGTGGTAACTTGCTCGCCACTCAAGGCTGCCCATCTCGGCACTCCAATGATGGGGTGTTAAAGGCACAGTCATACCCGTTCGGCCGTCATCTACAACGGACGCTGCTTCCCGTGGAGAACCTACGAGTATTCTGGAGCCTATGAAGGATTGTAACTTCAAGGCCCGTGGGAATATACGTGAAGTAGACTGGTAGAGAGTATTCATGCCATGGGTAACTCATCAACCATGGGGGCGAATTTGCACGCTCAATCAGGAAGATACAGATCCAAGTCAAATCAGGGGTCGTCTAGTGCAGCAGCAGTAGAGACAAGCAAACAGGCAAACAGCGTAAGCAGTGTAAGCAGGTCTCAGGACAGACAGTTAGAGAAATAATGCCCCAAGCGTTCGGACGACCGAGAACCGAATCGCCCCTCGTTCGGAAGTTACATGTCTCTCCAACTCCGATGAACTACAAACACATCGATGGTCCCTATTCTGTGACTGCATGCTGCAAAGCTGATGCTGCTGCTGCTGCTGCCTGCGAGTTATATGTAATATGTACGAAATGTCGAATAGTTCCAACGTCCTGCATCTGACTGCCTATACATAAGGTACCTGTGTCCCATCTGCATCTACGTTTGAGACGCCGCACGTCGACAATTATAGAGTGGTGCTGTCGCTTACATGTTGAGGATGTGTACCTAAGGTATGTGAGAGGAGGATGAGTATCCCCGTAGCAGCGACATGGAATCGCTAGGAAACGTCCTGCGGTCAACTCCTTTACTTTTCTGGGTAACAAAACACAACATATGGACGCAAATTCAACTGAGATATGGTGTATGCAAATCTCACCTTGTCAAGACATATACTGCGTCTACAGAAAAAGGCTGCCGAGTACACGCTTCAGAAATGAGAGCATGAAAGATCTCAAGGGATTCATCATCTAAACCCCCTAGGAACGAGGATAAGGAATTATTATAGTCTTTCCATTAGTCAATGTAGTTGTAACCGGGTTATCTTTGTGTGTTTCGTCCCCCCTCCTCTTCCCTCATCCCTCATCCCTCATCCCTTACCCTCCCCAGCTCCTCCTATTCTTCGTTGCCCTTACAATTTCCCTCCCCATCTCAAAGGATATCGGCGGGCGGACACAAGCCTTGAAAGCCCCAAAAGCCTTGTTTGAAAAAAGGGGAGGGGGTGTAAACAGTAAACCTCACATGCTTGCGAGTGTGTGTACAGCTGAGAAGAAAAAAAAAATACAAATTCCCAGGCCAGTCTTTCTCTTCGTTGGTCACAATACTTGAAACAGGAAACAGAAAAAAAGGACGACCTGCTCCTCAACCCTTTAATCGAACGTGTGCCATTGTTTCGACATGATATGAAAAGAAAACGCCTCATTCCCAATGCTATCCCTAATTGTAGTTAATTGTATAAAGTGGTGGCTTGTTGTGTTACTGCGTGCAAGAACCAGGCTTTTCCTTCCCACAAGTATTGTATGTGTGAACTCAGAAACCGGTCTCGACTTTTTTCTTCTTTCTCTTTTCTGACTGTTTTGGCATTGTGGTATCGGGGCAAGTTGGGTTGTTTTACAGAATCGAAAAAAGGGAGCAAGTTGTATTTTATGTGTTTTGTTTTGTTGTGATTTCATATCGCCGAGGGACCCTTTTATTCGGACTTGGCCGCCACCGCGGCTCCCTTGCCCTTTGACGCCAGCAACCGGTTTTGCCTGTCGCCCTTGTACCGCGTATCGAGGGCGCGGTCCCAGAAGATGAAGAAGGGCTGAGAGAAGTTGGTCTTGATGCCCCACGTCTGGTGGTGGATGTCGTGGTAGGCGGCGTTGTTGCTCGTGATGTGCTGAAGGGGGTCCCAGGGCAGCGCGTAGCCGCAGTGGTCGTCGACGGTCTTGACAGTGGACAGGCAGAAGAACAGAAGTCCCTGCCTCGCGCTCATGCCGGTGAGGAGGAAGCCAATGCCCGCGCCGAGGGTGTCGAGCAGGAAGCCCTCAAACGGGTGGTTGTAGAGGGCTCCATAGGCGTAGGGGACGTAGAGACGGTGATGTCTCGAGTGGAATGTCGCTAGGAGGTTGTTGTGTTAGTTGAGCTGTTTGCCACCTTTGCGCCGAAATACCCCGGGAGCCATTCGGCCGAGTCGGAGTCCCGAGAGGTCGGGGGAGGATTTGGGTCATAACTCACTGTACATCCACTTGTTTACGTGCATAAGACGGTGGAGGAAGTACTGCCATGTGTCAAGGATAGAGATGGCGGCGAAGAGCTGGAACCCAGGAATGACGAGCCAGTAGATTGCCTTTGCGACGAGCAGTTCCCAGGCGGCGAAGACGGGGACGACGGCGTGCGATCCGTCGAGCTCGGTAGTGAGGAAGGGGTAGTGACCGCCGGCGAGCGCACCGGCGATGAAGGGGTGCGTTGCGGACATGTTCTTTGCGAGGGAAGCGGCGTTGAGGCCGAGCAGGCCGAGGATGGTGGGCAGGGCGCGCTGGGCGACGCGGACGCGGGTGGCCCAGACGGCGACGTCATAGTTCTCCTTGCCCGTGAATTGCTCCTCGTCAATGTACTCGAGGAAGACGGACATGCCGACCTGGATGAGCTGCTGGAGGAGGACGTCGCGGGCGACCTCGTAGCGAGAAACGTGGTTGCGCTTGGTGATCTCTTCGGGGGTGTGCAGGCGGTACTGCGGCCAGACATCGTAGACGTCAATGACGTGGAAGAAGAGGGACAGGATCCAGTAGACGACGATGGGCAGGAAGATGCGCAGGTAGACGTCGGGCAGGCCGGGAATGAGGTCGGCATAGGGCTTGAGGGTGTATTCCGGCAGAGGCGGGAGGTCGCCTACGGTCGACGTGAAGTTTGCCGCCATCGTGGGTGGGATGGTTTCGTTCACCATGGCGGGTTTTCGGGTTCGGCGGTTTCTCTCGTTTGCTCGGTCGGTTCGGATGTGGTGGGATTAGCGATTGCGTCGGTCAGAGGAGGATTGAGATGTATGCTCGCGTGCGTCTCAAGGCGAAGAATCGGAGGAACGCAGATTGAAATAAGAAAGTAGGGAGTGACGGGTTCGTGTGGCGGGTGAGGCGGTTTGTAAGGAGCGGACGGAAGTTGGATATATGAGATGCCAATCCTTGGGGGTTGCCTGTGCCAGGTAGGTGGGTGGATGGTGGTAGGGTGGAGGATGTCAAAGCAGAGAGCGAAGCACAGCACAGGGCTGAGACGGAGCAGAGCAGCAGCAGCAGCAGGGCGAGCTGTAATTAGTAGTATGCGTAGTAGGTAGTTTGGTAGTGAGTAAGAGGACGTCGGGAGACTGGTGGCGAGTTGGTTCGAGGTTTCACTAGCTTGGACTAGCATTGGCCCTTGTTCGCAATGCGCCCAAAATGTTGCAAGTATTCGCTGACTGGAGTGACTTGCGCGCCCGGTGCATGCGGTGCTTCAATGCGCCTGATAGCAGGTACAAATGGAGTTTATCTGGGTACCTTTGGTCTGTGGATTGTACGGATACCCAGTTGAGTCTGATTAGCGGCGACGACGGGGCAATTTTTTCTCCCTCTACGGAACACGCAGTAGTAGATCTCTTGTAAATATCCGTACTCTAGGTACTAAGGTAGGTATCCTTACGCAGGCGTCGCCGCGCCGGGTTCCCAGGCCCAGGAATGATGCGCTTTTATCAATCTCGCTTGTGAAAAGGCGCGGGCCTCTCGCCTTTCGACCGTCTCCCGGCTTTTGCCACAGATCGAACCACAACTGTTCACTTGTCTCCTCGGCCTTTCGACCTGGTCAGTTGTACCTGACTACCATTGTGGTAATAGTCCATATCCACGGCCGCGGTATCCGGTTAGTGAATCGTCAACAATACGTCAAGCGCGATGCCTCTCCTGTATCAAATCTTCTTCGTGGGCCTGCAATTCAGACTCTTTTCATCACGGACAGACTTGCCTTGAGTACCCGTCACGGGTTTGGTCGCGTAAATTGCGGCGGGCTCTGCGGGCTTGCCCATGCTGTCATGACCTCTTTAACCATGTGCGGCTTGCTACGCTGCCGTGTCAGGCCACCGGGCCCTCCCCTGTCGATGCCGTAAACACGCGGACGCTTCGGTAGCTTAAGTAAGCCCGTGTTACCGCGATGCGATCGAGTGCCAAGCGCCAGATGGTGTTGTCTCCAAGAGAGGGGGCTTAGGTAAAACCGTAAGGCAATTTCACAAGCATGATGCGCCCACTATGGGCTCGAATAAGCGCCCCCCCTTTTTTTTTTTTCCAGATGATTCAACAGCAGTACAGAAAGCCTATCAGTGAGACCAAAACAACAAGAAGGACGAGTGAAGAATGAGAGGATGATGAAAGGTGACGAGGAGTGCTGACAAAGGAGAATCAACTTCATTGTTTTGTCTTAAGGGCGGTCCCTGATCATGAATGCCCACTGTTTAACTCCATCGTTTTGCATTACTAGAGGATTGCCGTAGTATATATAGACGCTACCTTACCCTCGAATTCCGTACTATTTAACCTTAGCCCTTTTTATAAGTTACCTATCCTTTTTTTTATTTTACCCTCTCCCTTATTAAAAAATTACTAAAATCGTAATTTTAATAACTTATTAATAAATTAATATTACTATTTAAAAATAAATAATTTACGTTTATATATAAGTACTAAGAGTTTTATTATTATAAAAATAATAATAAATATACTAAAGTATTTAAAAAAGCTTTTTAATAAATTTTTAATACTATTTAAAGTTATAGTCCTCGAGTTATAAAAAAAAGCTAAGGTATTATATTAATATAGCCCTATTTTTAATATTAATATTAATAATAGTCTTTTTAATATAAAATATATTATTAATATTTTATAATTATATTATTATATTTTATAAATTATATTTAACATTAATAAGAATTTTAATATTATTTTTTAATTCGTTTTTTAGTTTTTTTATTAAGGTTATTATTATAAAGTTAGTTTAATTATTAGTATTTTAATAAGTATTTTAATTTAATATACTTAGAGGCTCTTATAGCCCTTAAGAAAAGGCTTTTAAAAGACTTATAATTAAACTTTTTACTTATTATAAATAAAACTATTATAATTAAAACTATAATACTAATTATAAGCTTTAATAATAAGTAATTAATAATATAATTTTTTTTTTTTATAACGAGTTTAAAAAAGTATTTTAATTTAAATATTAAATAAGTATTATACTATTTTATTAAAATTATATTCTTATATTTATAACTTAGAAAGAATTAACTTTCTTCGATAATAAGGTACTTAGATCATGAATGCTATCCCACTCCCAATCCATGTGTCGGGCTCATCATAAAACACCAGACGATGTTACACGTCAGGAGTGTTCATGTGACCCGGAAGAACTGGTTGGTGTGAGTCTGGGCTGGGCTCACCGCTCTCGACCAGCCGCAGAACGTAGTTGAGGCTATCCCAGCTTCAATCCCATTAAGCCACGACCTGCGGTGGGTATCGTAAAAGGCCCTTCAGCGGCAGCGGCGCCGTCAAGGGCTCGATTCCATCCACGGCTTAGGTAAGACATCCAGTTCACCTCGCCAAAATCAACACCACATGCCCCAGATCATCCAGTCTTGGCTGAGAAAATGCCACAGGCTTGAAGATGCTCATTGCATCTGAAGCCCAGTGAAATTAATTGCTTCACTGTATCTTCACCTGAATGATGAGATACAGATAAAAAACGGTAAAATACCATACTGTCGCAGGATACCTTGAAAGCCGAAACTCATCGGGTTGACATCTCTTCAGGCTCTGGTCCCACGTCCCGCACCTTCAGTGTTCTCGCCCTTCGGGCAACCCGCCATGATGTTAGGGATCTGGCGGTGATCAAAGGCTTGAGCACTAACAGCCTTTGAATACGGATACAGGAACCCGCCTGGCTTTTTTGCCGCCAACCCAAATCAAGACTAGCTCAGAAAACCCCACCAAACACAGTCCCTCCCACTTGCCAATTTTGCGAACACTTTTCGCCCTTCAAAAGCGACCCCCCTCCTTTCTGCTCGTTCCTTCTACTTCTCCAGACCCAGACAACAAACTTCCCGTCTCGCCAATACCTCACCTCCTCGACACCTCAGACAAACCGCCAAGATGATTATCTACAAGGTACGTCTAATTTATCATTGCCAGACCACTTCTCTCAAGGACTGTGGACGACTTGTGCAGCCAGGCATAGCTGTTTTTACCCCTCCTTCGGAAATCCCCCGCCATTGGACGGCTGGGGGGTTGAAAAAAAATGTTGATGTTTTAAAGATGAGGATCAGTTTCAATATGCTGACCGAACAACCGCGATACAGGACATCATTACCGGAGACGAGATCATCTCGGACTCCTACGACCTCAAGGACATCGATGGCATTGTCTTCGAGGCCGACTGCGCCATGATCACCGAGGGCGCCGTCAGCGTCGGTTCGTGAACCACCCATCCGCCCACATCACCCCTCCCCGCTGGGCGCTTACCCCGCGCGTTTCCCAAGCACATCGAAACATACATTAGAAAAAACAACATTCTGACAGAAGCGACTTTTGCACAGACACCGGCGCCAACGCCTCCGCCGAGGAGGCTGACGAGGGTACTGAGGACGCCGAGATCAAGGTCAACAACATTGTCCACTCTTTCCGCCTCCAGTCCACCCAGTTCGACAAGAAGAGCTTCCTCGGCTACCTCAAGGGTGTGTGAAACCATCTCATGTATAAATAAAGGCATTATTGGTGTACTGACAAGCTTCGCAATTAGGCTACATGAAGACTGTCAAGACTGCCCTTCAGGAGAAGAACGCCCCGGCCGAGAAGATCACCGCCTTCGAGAAGGGTGCCCAGAAGTACGTCAAGGAGACCCTCCTTCCCAACTTCAAGGACTTCGAGTTCTACACTGGCGAGTCGATGAACCCCGATGGAATGTAAGCAAAACCTCCCACCCCAAGACCTCCCTCGTCAGACCCGCCCAAATGATGCTAACCTGTGGACAGGGTCGTCCTCCTCAACTACCGCGAGGATGGTGTCACCCCCTACATCATCGTCTGGCAGCACGGCCTCGAGGGCATGAAGGTTTAAATCTCGACACGGAATTAGTTCTTTCCCTGTTGTTTTTTCTCGAGATTTTGTCGGTGTTTGTTTTGGAGACCGAAGAATTTGACGTCTTACAAGAAAAACACCTTTGCTATAGCGTACCACCCATCTGCTTTGGCATATATCCCTTCAAAAGCCCCCGTAGCAAGCAAAAAAATAAAAAGCGCACACCCGGCGTCGGCCGTGCTTATGATCATATGAACGAAACAACTTTTTTGCCTTATATACTTGCTCGACGAGCTTCATTTTATAATGAACACTTGAAAGTGATGCTCCCACAAAGTGGTTCGATTTCAATTTTGATACTACCCCGCAACGTGAGGTAGTCCGACCATTAACAAAACGCCGCAGAATGCATTGGCCGACTGCAGAGGAAAATGCATGCACCAACTCAGCCTCGGAATCGTACGTGATGCCCACTAGCCAGCTTCATCCACCACCAACATCACCCCAAAAAGCCTGCCCAGCTCAAAACGTCGGCTTGGTTGCCAAGGGGATCGGAGGAGGTGCATCATCGTCGTCTCGAGGCGAAGGCGCCGGCGGTGGTGCCGGTGCTCCAGCCAGCTGTGGCTTCTTCTTTGGAGGCGGCGGCGGAGGCGGCTTCTTCTTTCCGACTGCGCTCACCAGCCCAGGCGGAGGTGACAGCGGGCTCGGCGCCGGACTAGGTGCCGTGGTTGTAGTAGTGTCCGCATTAGCCCCGGCCTGCTGCTTCTGTCCGACCTGGTCGTTGTAGAAGCTCTTTGCCTTTCCGGCATAGTTTCCCGCCTTTTCCGTGATGCCGTATTTCTGGTTAAAGTTGTTGGCGCTCTGGTACCCGGACTTGACCTGCTCGCCGTGCCGCTGACGAAAGTTGTTAAACGTCGACGCGGCGGACCGGGCGTCCGAGACGGAGACTGATGACGGGTTCTTGTGGAAGTCGGCTGCGGTGCGCAGCGCGGCTTGCTTCTGCTCTGTCGTGGTGCCTTCTGTCGGCGGCGGGGTGGAGGACTGATGGTTGGTGACGGCGGATTTGCCCAGCTTGGCGAATCTATTTTGCAACTCGCTCATGTGACCGCCCCCGCTGGCGCTGCTGCTGGTGGTAGGCGGAGGCGGCGGCGGTGAGAAGGCTCCGGCCCGGGGAGGTGGCGCGGGGCTGCTGGCGTTTGATCGGACCGGTGGTGCGGGCGCGGACTTTCCGATGCCTAGTGCGGATACAGATACGCCTGCTGCTCCTAGTCTGTTCATCGCGTTCTGGTTCAGGTATCCGCCGCCGCTGCTTGACGCCGGTGGTGGTGCTGATGCGGGCGACGCCGGCCGAGCTACCGACGAAGCGGAGGGTGTTCTGGGCGGCAGTCTCGGTGGTAAGCTCGGGGGCGGCGGCCGTGCGGCACCGGCTTGACCCGGCACCGGCGTCCGTCCATCGGCGCCATCCTTTCTTCCCGGCGGGGGCGGCAGATGGGCGGTTGAGAGGCCTGTGGTATCTGTGCGCCACGGCTTGGGCGGTGCCGCTTCTTCCTCCACACCTTCCTCGTGTTGCTGCTGGTATCGGTTCGAGTCGTCGTACGGCGGCGGTGGGACGCCAGGCGATGCTGCGTTGGAACGTGATGGCGGGGGCGGGGGTGCAATTGTTCCCGGGACACGCTTCGGTGGCGGTGCAAAGGTTGAGGGATCTGTGAGGGACGATAGGGGTCTGGCGACGCGCTCCTCTCTGTCGCTCTCCGTTTTCCTTCCCAAGAGGCCGTTCTGTCGTGTGTCTGGTTAGTTTCCCGTGGCAGTTGCAGAGACGCCCGCCCGGTGACATACCACTTGGCCCTTGAAGGTGGTGCCCGGTTTCTCGGGGTGCCAGCCATTCTTCATGAAATTTCCAAAGTTCGACGACATTATTGTAGAGGCTGGGCCGAACAGAGGGAAAGGGGGAAGAAGTGTTGCTGTTGACTCGTGCCCTTGGCGTGTGGAAAGGGGAGATTTTGTCGACGGCAGGTTGTGCAATTAATGTAAAAAGCACCGGTGGAGGCTCACATTGCGTCGTCCCCGGCGGTGGTTCTCTGTCAGCGCTCCATCCTGGTTTCCTGCGTGACGTCGCCCGAGGTGCGTGGCAGTGTTACCCGCTATCGAAATCGCTAAAATTACGGGTGTCGCCGTGCTGGGCCGCTGGACTGGGAATTTGGGGGAGGGTGGCCCCCCGCTGGACGCCTTGCGATTCAGGCCTTCTTCCCCCTCCCCCATTCTCGGGGGAACAGACCCCTCGGTCGATGTGCCTTACCAAATATTGACTTCCGTCGCGTCCGTCGCGTCTTTGGAGATGGCACTTTGTCCGCCCACTTAACCACGAACCTCTCCCCGACAAGCCCACCAGTCAGCCGATTGAACACGATGGCGCAGCGCACGATAATTGACGTGGAACTTTTGACAGAACATCTGGGATACGCACCAATTGTAAGTCTGCTATTGGCACTGAAATTACGCGACGCCTCAGAACTTACGCCTCCTCTCAGTCGCTGCTGGACAGCATCATCAATAATGTCAATGCCGTAGCCGACAAGACGCTCGACCGCGTCGAGCAGGGTCTTTCGAAGGCGCCTCCGAAAGCGCTCGGGTTCGAAAAGGCGCTGAAGCAGAAGAAACGGTCCGCGGACGAGGTTGTCGACGTCGAGGAGACGGCGAAGCTCGAGATCGTCGACGGCGTCCACAAGCTGGAGACGCTGCTGTGCGCCGCGATTGACAAGAATTTCGACAAGTTTGAGCTTTACGTCATGAAGAATATTCTGAGCATTCAGCAGGGCCAGCGAAACTGGATGCGCCTCGCCCATTACGACGGTCTCGACTTCAATGCCACTCACGAGGACGCGCCGACGAGGGAAAGCGTCGATGCGCTGAGAAGGAAGCTACAGGCCAGCCAGCGGCTCAACGTGATGCTACACGCCGAGCAGGCAAAGAATGCGGCGCTACTGGCGAAGCTGCGAGGGGTCATTGGTGGTAAGCCGGCCGGATCCAGGGCTTCGCTGGTGGGACAGGTCAAGGTTGAGGGGTCCGACGACAGGGCGCCGTTCCAGTTCCTGCAGGAGAAGGGCGACTTGGCAGACGGTGATTTCAAAGCGCCTATAACGACCACGACCGCCTTCAACATGTCGCAACTCCAGGCGCTGCGCGCGTTATCGACGTCGCTGCGTAACATCATGCCTGACCTTAAGGACCCGTCCAGCACCGAGGACGGCCCCGAGAAGCAAAAGAGTTGGAGACGAGAGAGAATGGAGTATGTCGAGGGGGCCACGCGGAAGCATCTGGAGCATGTGCGTGGGCTAGAACTCGGCAAGGATGGCGATGTGCGCGATGGCGAGTGGCAAGGTGAGGGCAGGAAGTTTGCCATGGGCGAGGTGGAGGGGCTGGAGCAAGTGGTTGCCGCGCTCGAGGGAGGTTCCGGGGAATCTACTGAGCAGCCCGATCTCGACGCAATGGACGAGTCATGAAGTGATTATTCGGATGTCAACTTCTTTGAGAAGATTGAAATGAACTCACAATCTCGCCACCGACAGAGCATGCCCAACGGCACCGTCGTCATCTTAGCTGCGATGCCAGGTCAGGCGATTTGGTTCTTGCGCAGAGCGACCACTCGCTTTCCCGTCAGCGGGCTATCACTCAGACGGATCCCAATCAATGTCGAGGACTGAAGGCAAGGCGGCAAATTCGACCGCGCCACCTGCTACACCCATAGCAGGATAGAAACTCGATGTGCCTGAGGCAAGTAAAGCTCGCTGCTTCACTCAGCCAAGCACGAAAAGTTGCAGGGCAGCTATTTAGGATACCGTCACCGTTGGGGCATCGACAGGGAACGAGAATCCACATGGATCAAGGCCATGGTGTCTTGCCAATACTAGCTAGGCTAGAGCAGACGACAGATGTCTCGATGATGCAGACTTCTCTCATGTCGAGATCGCTTCAGGAGGGCCCCGCGTCTCTTCTGGAGAGGATTCGCAAGGACGCAGAGCATTGGAGGTATGGGCAGAGACATATCACAACTTGTTGGGTTCAATATACGTGGAATAAGATGCGGTTCAACCGAGAAGGATGGCAAGGAGGAAGGACAGACGGAGAGAAGAGAAACCTCAGGCTCTAGGCCCATTCTTAGAACCTGAACACATAAAATTCGTTCCTACCTTATTTTTCACCTGTGGCTGGCAAGAACCAGATCTTTACCTCGTGACCAAGGGTCGCACTCGGTCAAGGAAGGAAGTGATGCCCCAAGTTGAAACGGGGTTTCTGCCTCTAGGTGAGCTGGGATTTCCAAGTGAGGCAAGAGGTAGACGGAAACTAATATCTGACTTCAGGAAAGAGCGGTGCCTGCCTAATTACCTAATCTCGACCCTACATCACCGCGACACCCTGCCGTTTGTTATTGCTGTCAAACCCCATCCTCATCAGCTCCACCACATCGCGCACCTCTCACTTCTACGGCATCACCGACCAAGATGCCGTCTCATCTACCCGAAGAAATCTTTCTCGCAATCATCAAAAGCCTCACACATCCCGAACCGACCTACATGCGCCCCAGCGGTCGAGACTATGCCACTTTGTCCAACCTTTGCCGCGTATCTAGAGGTTTCCAGAAAGTTGCGGAGCCCTTTCTTTACCATACGGTTTGGCTTTCGGATTGTAGCTTCAACCGTTTCCTTGAGACCATCAAAAGCAAACGCTACCTAGGAAGATACGTCAGGCATCTCACCATCCCCCGTGGGCTCGATCACTCGTGGGCCGAGAAAGACCTTGAAGAGCAGTTATTCCAGTTGCAACGCTCTGCCGAGCATGGGCATTTCAAGGCCGCCATTGATCGTTATAGAAGTGGTTCTGGAGAGCTCTTGCGTTTCCGAGGAGCTCCTCATATGCTACTCCTGGCCTGGCTGCTTCCAGAGGTGGAGATCATGCATTGCCTGTCAGACGATGGGCAGATGGAATTGATCGGCGAGGTGGAACAACCGGGACCCTTTCCCCGTCTACGAGAGGTCCATGCCAACCAATGGGAACATCTTGAGGATCGCCAAAGCTTTCGGCTCTCTCGATGGGAGCCCTTGCTTTTGCAGGGAGTGGAGGCCTTTAGCGGAAGGGGAATCGAGTGGAATGAAACGGAACAACCCCTAGCGCTGAGGTCGGTCTGCCTGTTTAACTCGCTATATAAGGCAGCGGACTTGACAAACCTGCTCAGGTGCTGTCCCGATCTAAAGGCATTAAGCCTAAGATGGGGCAAGGCCTTCGACAGCATGTTCAATTACGGTGGCGGCGTTCCCGAGTGCAATGGAATCGGCGAGGCTCTGCGTCAACATGGAAAGAACCTCCGTAAATTGGAGCTGGACTGCCGCCCAGAATTCGAAAAGACGGATGACTACCATGACCCTGATGACGTCGTAAGACTGGGACGTATCGGGTCACTGCGAGAATTGACACGGCTCGAGACGCTCGAGATTCCCCTCGATATGCTGCTGGGGAGTGATGGCGGGCATGGATCGAACCCAAACGAAGGGAACATTGAGGATCAGTCAATGACATCAATCCTGCACCTCAGCAATGTTCTACCGAGCTCAGTGGAGGTGCTGGGGCTGCTGGAAGATTCGTCGAGGAGCGAGGAACGTTTAAACCTTCAGGTACAAGGCTTACGGGCAACTGGGAGCATGGTAAAGCTGCGTTCGGTTACGGTCCTCCGGAGCGAGGTAATCCCTCTCGACCGACATGAACTGCTGGCTGATGTTCTTGGGATCGAACATAAGGTTAAGGAATCGAAGAGAACAATCAAAATATCGGACCAGGCGGAGATTGAAATAATATGGCTCTCCGAGAATACTATGTACTTTGGCAGCTCCCATCTTTGAGTTGTGATGATGATGATGATGATGGGAAATGGGCGACACGGTAGCTTGCCGCTCAATACCACACTTTCAATCTCACCACTGCTATTACTGCTGCTGCCGTTGCTATGTTGTTACTCCTTCTCTCTACATCTTCCTTAGCGAGTACGCTCTTGAAAGCATAGTCAGAAAATAATCATACATCCAATGAGTTCCAATCTGATGGGTCCACTTCTGCTCTATTTTGTCGCCTGCTCCGATGTTCAAGGTAATAAAACCCCGTGGTGACCCGGATCCCACTTCCGGGCCGGGTCATGAGTCGGGCGGCGTCACGGCGCTCTACTGGACCGGAGTCTTCCGTATAAGACACATTCCCTGAAGGTCTTACGGATATCTTACTTGAGATAGACATTTTAAGCCACCAGGCTCGAGGTGTTATTTTTCAAATGATGGAACGGAGTCTCACTGTGGGCAAATTACTCGGACTTGAGGTTACTAGTCTAGCTCCATGAGATTTGCTCCTTGCTCATTGTATCACGATAACAACTCGCTTGTCTAAAATACGCATTAAAGCCGCTGCATCCATCGCACCACTCGCTCTTCTCGCCTCGTCGAAATCAATATCCCGAGCCTTCCTGGTCTATGAACCTAACTCTCGGCTATCCTCGCAAGCCAAGACAACAAGGTCTAGCACCTACTCTTCTGGGTGTAGCCTCGCATCTCCGCGTACGACTTTGCAATTGAGTTTGCTAGACCCTCTTCAGCACGCCGAAAGTAATGGTTTGCAGGATGTCTGCGGAAATGCTACGCTGGCCCGCGAAACGTCGAGACTCGAGAGCGTCATACAAGCATCTCGGTCTTGGCTTGCATGGTTATCAACCGTCGACCCCTCACTTTTTGCCCTTTAGGTTCGCCAGGGCCAAGATGAAGATTTTGTGCGATTCACACGGCGGGGAAAAGTGAACGGAAGCGCGCGAAGATCCGCCGGAGATGTCTGTATAAAAGCGTCAGACGCCATTTGCTCGTACTCGTCTGAACGACGGACGCTTGTCAGGGAATCGGCTGTGTTCAATTCAAAAGTCATCATGAAGTTCACAGCTTTACTCGCCGTCATCGCCCCAGCCACCGCCCTCACCGGCAACAATAGGATAAAGACGCCCCGAGACGAAAAGGTCAGCTACGAAGGCTACCAGGTCTACCGCGTATCGACATCCAACGCACCACCAAACCAACTCGCCCACCTGCGCTCGTTCCCGTCCATTGACCTCAAGGGCTCCGTCGAAGTCGCGATCCCGCCCAGCGAGGTTGAATCACTCAAGGCTCTGGGACTGCTAGACAACACGCAGCTTCTAGACGATGACCTCGGACGGGCGATCAGGGCCGAGTCCGAGGCCGAAAAGAAGCCCGGCTTGACCAAGAGGGGCGAGCTGCCGGACCTGAGCTGGTTCGACTCATATCACGCGTATGACGACCACGTACAGTACTGGAGGGACCTCCACGCTGCGTTTCCCGACAACTCGGAGTGGCTGGACATTGGTGCCTCGTATGAGGGCCGCAACATATTCGGGCTGCGGCTTTGGGGGGGCGAGGACACGGGGACGAAGCCCGTTGTCCTCTGGCACAGCACCGTTCATGCCAGGGAGTGGATTACTACAATGGTATGTGAACACATCCTAGACGCTTTTGTAAGTGATGGTGTTAATGCCCGCGAGTAGACTGTCGAGTACTTGACCTACCAACTCATCGACGGCTACAAGTCTGGAGACCGAAACGTCACAGCCTTCTTCGACGCTTACGACTTTTACATTGTGCCCTTTCATAACCCTGATGGTAAGTCAAAAGGTGTGTTACCAAAACTCCATCCAAATCACTCATGAAACTCCCCCTACGCGTCTAGGCTTTGTGTACAGCCAGACCACAAACCGCCTCTGGCGCAAGAACCGCCAGCCGCGCTCCAACACGACCTGCATAGGCACCGACGGCAACCGCAACTGGAACTTCCAGTGGGACTACCCCCTCGAGGACGGCAGCGTCTCCGCCGATCCGTGCGGCGAGACCTTCCGCGGCCTCGCGCCGGGCGACACGACCGAGAACGTCGTACTCTCGGCCCTCTCGCGGGAGCTAGCCTCCACAGCTGCCAACTCCACCGGTGGCGGCGGCATCAGACTCTTCATTGACTGGCACAGCTACTCGCAGCTGATCCTCCTCCCCTGGGGCTTCTCCTGCGACCCCGACGTGCTGCCCCGGAACCTCCAGGCGCAGCGGGACGTGGGCGCGGGGTACGCCGCGACGATTGCGGCGACGAGCGGGGAGACCTACGAGGTCGGCCCGTCGTGTGAGATTTTGTACTATTCCACGGGCTCTGCGAGAGATTTTCACCACGGGGCGCTGAATGCGACGTACTCGTGGAGCGTCGAGTTGCGGCCCAAGAGCGGGGGGAGCGGAGGGTCTGGGTTCATTCTGGCGCCCGAGTTCATTTTACCCACGGCCGAGGAGCATTGGGAGGGGATCAAGTATGTGCTGGGTGCTGTTGGCAAGTAAATGTGTACATGTCATGGATGGGGCGCTGCTGGGTAGACTAACGTGCGTACGGCGTGATTCAATATTCTGAAGAAAGACGTATCGAAGGGACGTTGGACCGGTATCGACTGATATTGTCCGTCTCACTTTCTTCTTGTCGCATTGACTATTTTCTTAGTGACTCTATGAATACCCTCGCACCGCATTGGCCTTTTTGTCTATGGTGAAGAAACACAAGCGTCAATATACGATGTGATAATGTCACTTTACGAGACTCAGAGCATGCCATGCTGGATTCCCAGATGCATGACTTGGGGATCAAAGGAATCTCCAAGTTGTTATACATTGATGATATCTATTTGTATAGTACAATAATCGGCTGAGAATCTACATGTGTATTCTACGCCTCCTCTTGCCCCGGCAATAGACGGTAATCGTGAGCAAACGCCCAGAACCCGTGCTTCGAAAAGCGACCCGCCTTGTCCGCGGCCTGAGGCCTGGCCTGCTTGCGGACGGTATCGACCAGCTTCTTGGCCCCCTCAAAGTCTTGCCGATGGACCAGAGACCGCAGCAGAGGGTCGAGCAGCGGCAAGCCGGGCCAGATCCCCCAATCATCAAGGTCGTAGACGACCTCGAGCGCGCTGTCGAGGTCGCCGGCGCGGTGATAGTTCTTGATGACGCTCTCCCAGAAGACGCGGTCCGTCAGAGCCCGCGTGCGCGCGCGGCGGTCCGCGACGAGGGCGCGCAGCGAGTCGAGGTCGGGCCGATTCCGGTTGACGTAGTACTCGACCAGCATGGTGCACATCTCGGTCGACGGGTGGAGGCGGGATGCGCGGAGGTGCGAGAGCAGCGCGGCCACGGCGTGCTTGCCGCTGTCGCCCGCCCGGACGAGGACGTGGAGCATCTTGCCGTAGGACTCCTGGTTGGGCTCGATGCCGCAGGCGGCCATCTCGGAGAATACCCTGTCCATCGTCTCCCGCTGCTCCTGCGGCGTCTGGTCTGGCAGGTCGCTGAGGGCCGCCTCCATGATGACGGTAAAGGTGGCCCCGTCCGGCGTGATGCCCGCCGTCTTCATGCTGGCGAGGATCCGGTCCGCCTCCTCGTGGGCCCCCTTTTTGAGCATGCGTGATAGGAGCATGTTGTAGGTGTAGATGTCGGGCGTGATGCCCTTGTCGGTCGCCCAGTCCAGTACGGTACGGATGACCTCCATGTTATCACGGCGGAGCAAGCCGGAAATGGCTGCGTTCACGTTGGAAATGCCAGGCTCGACGGCCTTTCCTTGCGTGCCGTTCTTTACTGCCATGCTCCACAACCTATCCATCTCCTTGAGGGCACCCAGACCGTCATGTTCGCCGCCCAAAAGGCCGAGGGCCGAGATCCTGCTCGACCAGATCTGCTGGTCCAGTTTGACACCTGCGTTTGTGATGAATTTCCACAGGTTCTCAATCGGCTCCAACCGCCTGGCCTCTTTCCAGCCACTCATCATTGACGTGTACGTTCTGACCGTCGGGGCCATGCCCAGAGTCTTCATGTACGCCAATATCTCCTCCGTCAGCTTGGAAAAGCTTGCGCCTAACCCGTACTTGCTACACGCGAGGAACAGGATGTAATCGAAAAGGTCCGGAGAGCTCTGCAACCTCAGGGTCCGGTCCTTGTCGTTGGCCGGGTTGATCAGGTCTCTCCAGGCCTGCTGGATGGCTGCAGTGTCGTTTGCACGGAAGACGGTCTCGAACCGCCGGTGCCACAGGGCATAAGAGAACCGCACCGCTGACTTGGCTTGATCGGGTTTGCCTGGAGACACAGTATCCAACTCTTTCCACGTTCCGGGAGCCACGCGCGTCACCCTCCAGTCCGCCCGTGGTTGGACGTAGCTCCAGACTTCGGCATGGTCGCGAAAGAGCTCCTGCAGCATGTCCTTATCGAATTGCTTGACAATAGGATCCAGTGCTTCCAACAGCGGGTGTGCCTCCAACCTGGCCTTGCTGATCATATGCTTGGACTCAGACAGCAATACGTATGTGGCTACGAGGGCCGGTCCTAGGCCTGACGTTTCGTTGGCTGCAAAAAAGGGGAAGAGCGCGCGGAGGAGTCTATCGGGTCTCTCGGTCCCTAGCAAGTCCCGCCGTGACGTGAGCCAAAACACGGGATCCGACTCGAGGCCGCTGTCTGCGCGCTTCAAGCCCGAAAAGTGTTTCCAGCACTCCACTAGATCCTCCAGCAGCCGGTCCTCCACAGCCTGGTTCTCCGGGTCCGCTCGAGTTGAGATGATTGCTCGCAGGAGGCCATTGATGAGTTCCAGTCGCCTCACAACCCTCTTGTTATTTATGTGAGTATACAACTTGCATATGTCTACCGTTCGGGGGAGGTCGGCGGCCTCTATCGTCGCAAACTTGATTCTCGTGATTTGTTGTAAAGCTTGGCTGGCTATTGTTGTGGTAACCTGAGGCAGATAGACACCCGACTTTTGCGCGGCCACCAGAAGTTTTGTGGTTATGAACGTGTATGCCTGTGTCGCAAATTCCAAATCGGAGATCTTTTGCTTCTGTCTCTGTTGTAAGAGTTGGCTGAGCTCGTCGGTAAGTGAGTAGAGCTGGTTGACGCCCGGGCCGTTGCTAGGAGCCGCCGGCGCGGGCTGCTTGCTGACGGTCTCTTCAAATAGATCCAGGACTCTCTGCTTCGCAGTCTCGTTGCCGCTGCCCTTGTGCTTCCTCGTGGGTGGTCGTGGCGCTTTGGGTTTCGGGGTTCGGGACGGCTGGTCCACGGCGGCGGACGGGAAGCTTGTCGTCGAGTTCGGTCGGACCGCGCCGATTGTAGCCGCGCCGGCCAAAAGCCTCGAACGGCATTGGGCGCATACCGTCCTCGAGGCGAGCATGGCGTTCGTCTAGCCCTCGGGTGCGTTGGCGGGTTGAATTGACTTGGATGATGTTGCAAAAAAATACGTCGGGGCGTCACTGGAAAAGCTGCCGACAGCGGGAGGAACGCACGCCGATTTAGCGGCCCGGAATCCCTGCCGTTGGTCCCTGCGGTAGCGCTCCATTCGGGAAGCTTGGGCCACTTAGCATCATACAAGAGCCTCTGAGATGAAGCCGTGAGATGATGAACTTTGCGACGCGCTGTCAAGTTGCATGAGATGTTTACGAATAGTATTGACGTATTCAAAGGTGGATGAGGAGCAAAGTTGAGACGACGGTTCATTAGAGTGCAGGTCAATTTAGTAAAGTGGTATATCTCCCTAGTCCCCGAACCCAATTCATCAAACGTCACGTTTTACATCTTAGAAATCGTGGCCTCAAACTTGCCGTCAATCTCGCGAATCTTCTGCGCCGATCTCTCATAGCCGGGCTCCTTCTTGAGCCTCTCGATATACTCAAATACACGGGGGTGCGCCGCCTTGGCAGAACCGCCGGGCCAGCTCCCCAGACCGTCGAAGCGGGGCTGCGCCGCGATGAGCGCAAAGCTGAGGAGGATGTCGGCGGCCGAGAGGTGCTCGCCGCAGATGTACTTGCCACCATTGGGCGACGTCTCGAGCATCTGGTCAATCATGGCCATGTGCTTCTTGGCGTTGGGGAAGATCACCATGCTGTAGATCCGGTTGGCTACCACCGACGTGATGGGCCGGACGAGGAAGGGTACATTGTCGGATTTCAGGGCTGCAAGGCGTCAGCGAATACTCCAGAATCGTGACCTGACGTGAGACTCACCTCCAATGACCAGAGACATGGTGAGGACCGGGAGCAGACTGCCCTCAATGTAGTGAAGCAGGTACTGGCACCTCGAGTACTCCTCAGTCTCGCCGCCAATCTTGCCCTCCTGGCCGTCCTTCCACTTCTTGGGGATGAGGCTGGTGTTCTGGCCAAAGTGCTCGCACAGGTACTGCGTCATGTAGCCACTCTCGGCCAACTTGATGGACTCGCCAGAGCCGGTCGGGAAAATCTCAATCACGGGCGACTTGCCCAGCGGATGAACCTTTGCCAGCTCGGGAGGCGCCAAGAGCGTCTGCTTATTCCTGTGGAACACTTCGATTTCATAGTCAATCTTGAGCTCCTCGAGGAGCCACAGGATGTTCTGGGCTCTCGATTGCTCCAGCCTGGTGAATTGGTGAGCTTGGAATACAGAGTATGAGTGAAACCTGGACTTGACTTACCAGTAGAGCTTCACCTTGGGCTTCTGTTCAGTTGCCGCCATGTTGAGGGTATTCGATTGGTTCTTTTGGCGATGAATTCTCAATTAAGCACCTCACTGAATCTGAATTTACACCACGATACCACTCTGAACATCAATTGTTCAACCTGATAAGGTTTCCGGGCTTCGTCCCTCATTTATACGTCACTAGCTCATCGGAAGGCAAAGGGCCCGGCCCCACCGAGCTCACTTTCAGGTGTTTCCCCAAAACAAAAAGCACTTGGGCCGTCTCCTGTCACAGGAACACAGCATGCGCAGCACGCAGCGAGCAGCTAATTCACAGCGCAAAACCACAGGTTTATGCCCCACAATTTAGGCTTGCCTCGGTCTCCAGGCCTCGGCATAGAACCAGAACTTCTCTAGACCGCACATCAAATCGGCGGGACTGCTGGCTCCGAATTGCATACCACATTGAGTCGCCGATCTATCGTTGTCTGGCTAGGTTCGCAACAGAGGCCTACAATTACTCTTGTCTCCTATTGAGTGTTGAATCGTGTCTTTGCTAATACTGCCTCGTGATCTACTACAATGATTCGAACACAGTTGGACGGCAAGATGGTTATGCCATCGAGCAGCTACCCAGGCGTGCCAATTAAGTTGAAGACAAAAATTGCAAAAGTTTAAGCGTCAACGACAGGATTCGAACCTGCGCGACCGAAGCCACAGCCTTAGCAGGGCTGCCCATTAACCACTCTGGCACGTTGACTTATTTTGCTTATGTAAACGTTTCAATCTTGCGCGTATATGGAGGATAAGATGAGAAGTCGGCTCGCCTAGTAGATCGGCAGTGTCGACCAACGATTACGTACTGTGTATCCGCGGAGAAAGATGCCTGAGAG